ATATATTCTGGTAACATACGTTATTATGCTCAGCCAAAAAGGGGAACAGGAAGAGGCTGCTGGTGCTGTTCATTTTAATGTTGACTCCATCTGTTTGTGCTCATCTATGTGGCCACCTGCATATATACACATGTACATGCTGTACCTGTGTATTCGTATATGCAAGCCTGGGAATACATTCTCAGCCTCACTACTGGGAACACAAAGCTGTGGCAGGCCTACTACTGTATTCATCTCCCCCTTACATTTAATTTCTCTGGGCCAGCCTTACTGTTTCTTTTCATACCAAAGAACTGTTAAATCTTCAAGTAATCCCACTAAGTTGCTAAAAACATTAAAATAAAATCACATGTGATGTATTTCTGTGCAAGGATGGGCAGCACCACGGTGATCTACTTAAAAACCAGGTACCCTAAATCTTAGAATTTTCCTGCTTCCAGCATTCCTCATGCAGGTCTTTATTTTGTTTTACTTTATTTTATTTAACAGTACTGTATAAACCTGGTGTTAGACAGTGAGAGACGCATCAAGGCAGGCACTCAGTCAGAGCATGCTTCTCCAGGGCTGGGGCAGAGGGTGTCTGTGCTGTTCTGCCCACCAGTCCTGACCTGTAGGCAGACCCAGGTTCCTCCCATAACAGATTCATGTGATAACATATAGTGCGTTTCTCTTACAAACTCTCTGGAGTTCACAAGCCACAGTGTTTTCACAAGAGGGACGGCACGTTCTTCACGACCACACCAGCCATCCCAAACAGAATTTAGTCATCCAGTGCTTGCCTTCAGCCTCCCAAAACATGAGAAATGCAATGAGATGATATCCTGAGAAGCCTGACATACTACAGCTGCCAAGGCAGGCTGTGGTCTCTCACATTAGTGGCAGATGACAGCTCACTTACTTGAACACAAAGAGAAGTCTGCCACAGAGCAGTTCCTGCAGGACTGGAGGGAGGAAACAGCTGTCAACTATTTCTTGGATTACAGGGATAAACATACTTCCAGTAACAGCTTTAGGCTATGTAACTCTCAAATCCTGAATACAATTGAAGGTATTCTTGAACCAGGAGAAGAGTCAAGCTAGAAGGCTTTTATAGTTGAAATCTTAAATCTTCTCTGAAACAAGAAATGTATCTTCTGGCTTTATTACAGAACTCAGTAAGAGCCAAAATAAACAATGGCATCACTTTTTTAGAGAGAATAGAGAATATGCTAGAGGTTTATTGGCTTTTACTTTATCTGGGAAAGAAACAGGAGAACACTGCCTGCCTTTGTTAAGCCCTGAATGGATTCCTTAATACAAATTTCAGCCTCATTGAGCAGAGTACAAATTAACTATCCAAAGGAAACTATATGAGAAAAAGAGGAAGAATGAACCAGCTCCATAGAGATGGAGACTAAGGCCAGAGGACAGAATAACTTTCTTTGAAGAAGTGGTTTTCTCATTCTGGTACTTTGAATGATCCTGCTACATAGGAAATGTAGAAGTGTTTTACGGAACAAAAGAGGATGTAGCTTAATTTTCTCAGCAAGACATTCAATCCTGTGACATTTGTCACAAATAGTGACAAAATAGCTTAGAACTGGAAAGTTACATTTGAAAACAGTGCACTGAAGAAAACAAATGGGATCCAGAAAAAGACAGGCATTATAGAGTTTATGGAAGGATGCATGTGTTTTGTTTCCAGCTCCCTAAATGGGAATTCTGTGACTTTAACCTCGGGGGAAGGAGCACAGGCCATTAACACAAACAAGAAGGAAGGAGTAAGCTCAGCCAGTGAGTCATGGCCACAAACTTTGCCGTATCTCTGTGTTTTCCCATGCTGCTCTGAACCCTTGCTTCAGACTCTTGCAATGGACATGAGTAGATCAAATTGTATGTTTCCACCCCGGGTTTCTATTTCAACATGAAAAAATACCCACTGGGGACTAGAGCTGGCACTTGCAGAGGAATCGAGCAGTGCCCCTGGATCCAAAACTCACTTCCCAAGATTTCCAGGTCCTTCAGACAGAGGCTCCAGCCTGAGCTTCCATCTCCCTGAGGCTGTGCTGGAAATTCCAGGGGTAGATGGGAACAAAGAAAGCAAGTGGTCACTTTTAATACATCCCACCTGCTGTCTCAGCAGGCTAAGGCATGAGCCCTGCCCGCTGGAGGAGGCAGGAGGGAAGAGCTTGCTCAACATCATTCCAACTGAAAGCTCACCACAGGCTGTCAGCCTGGCCAAAATTCAGCTCCCCATGCATCCAAACCAAAGGCTGCCGGTTACATGTTGCATTTATGATCAGAAAATATATAGAGTATTTTTGTCTTCAAAAACGAAGGCATGGAAAAGGGCTCAAACCCTGTTTTGCTGACAGAGGAGAAGAGACTAACATATTAGCCTCTGTCACTTTGGTGTCCACCCTCCCATTTTTGCCCCCACAAAAAGGAACTGGTATACAGCATGCAGTGGCCATTTTCCCACCTTCCTCACCACTGCTGGCCTGGGACAAACTAAGGATAAAGGTGAAGTATGTGGCATTGGCAACTTCCTTCTCTCCTCCCATGGACACACAAATAGCACTCAAGACAACTCCACGGTAGGGACATATGGAACAGCCTAGCTGCAAAGTCCTATCTCCAAAAGGACACAGCACACTACCATAGTCCCTTACCTCCTCTGTGCCTACATGTGCTTCTTGCTGTCAGTGTATGTAGGTGACTGAAACCACCATCCTTTCCTCAGGGAGCCTAGGCCGGGCTGGACTGCAATGGATGCCTTTTTGAAGCAGAGGAAACACCAGTACTCTTGCAACCAGGTGCTCTGAGCCCAAAGTACATGAGAAAAACTATTTATCCAGTGTCTGTAAGACAACAAGAGAAGAAAGCTTACCTGGTTGGTCATAAGATGCCCATGCTAGGTTTTCTCCACATTTTCCATTAGCAGACTCAGAGCTGTGTTTGAGGACCCTTGTAGTAGCCAGTTCTTCTGCATACCTAGCAAAAGAATCCACATATTGAGTCATGGACCACAGCCACAGCAAGCAGAGAGGAAAAGGAGGAGGAGGAAGAGGATGAGATGCAAGCAAGGAGTTTTGCTGGAAGATGATCTTAAGGTCCTTTCCAACCCTAGCTATTCTATGGGTCTATAGTGGTTTAAGTTACACAGCTGCAAAGCCCTGAAGCCAGGGATGCTTTAAACCTATGTAGATCTAGGAGTTAGGCAAAGGGAAGGCCCAGAGGCAATTTGTCTTGTCTTTCATGAGCATCTGTGTCACTACTGAAAAGGGCCTAGAAGGAATCAAAGGGGAGACACCTGGGGACATGTGATGACTCAACAGAGAGTTTGTGGGTCAAGGTCAAAGGGAGAACAGCGATGGGGTACATTACAGTGGGGATCTGTTACACGCCATCTGACCAGGAGGAATCAGTGGATGAAGCACTCTACAGAGAGATAGGAGCAGCCTCACGTTCACAGGCCCTTGTCCTCATGGGGGACTTCAACCATCCCGATACCTGTTGGAGGGATGGGACAGCCCGGCACAAGCCATCCAGGAGGTTCCTCAGTTGTGTGGAAGACAACTTCCTCTTGCGAGTAATAGAGGAGCCGACAAGGAGCGGTGCCATGCTTGACCTCGTGCTCACCAACAGGGAGGGGCTGGTGGGGAATGTGATGCTCCAGGGCAGCCTTGGCTGTAGCGACCATGAGATGGTTGAGTTTGAGATCCTCAGGACAGCCAGAAGAGCATGCAGCAAGCTCACTGCCCTGGACTTCAAGAGAGCAGACTTTGGTCTCTTCAGGAACCTGCTTAGTAAGGTTCCATGGGATATAGTCCTAGAGGGCAGGGGGGCCCAAGACTGCTGGCTCATATTCAAGGATCACCTGCTGCATGCTCAGGAGTTTTGTGTCCCGACTAAAAGGAAGTGCGGCAGGAGGGCCAGGAGACCTCCATGGATGGATAAGAAGCTGCTGAGGAAACTTAGAGGGGAAAAAAGAAGCTTACAGAAGGTGGAAGCAAGGACAGGCAACCTGGGAAGATTACAGGAATGTTGTCCGGGAAGTCAGGGACCAGATTAGGAAATATAAGGCCCAGTTAGAATTAAATTTGACAAGGGATGTCAGGAATATCAGGAAAGG